AGGCATCAAAAGTTAATTTGAGTTATAATTTAAACACTTGTACCTTTTTTAAGCTCACATAATAATAACCTTTTAATATTTTATAAAGGTAGGTTCGTAAATGAACAAACATTCGGTGAATTGTTCGTATGACGTTCGTTTATGTTATATGACGTTCGTTTATGTTCATTTACTAAGCTAAATAAACGAGTATGAACAAATTTTTATGTTTATTTAATAAATGAATGAACACGAACAAATGTGTGTTTGATTCATTTATATTCATGAACATGCTCGTTTATGAGCTTCTTATCGACTAGTTTGTTTATATTCATGAACAAGCTCGTTATAAGCTCATTTACTTTTTATTTTTTATATTTTAAATATTGGTGAATGTGGGGACTAAATTAAACATATGATAAAATTTAGAGTTTACACTATGAAGTTTAAGTACTAGTGACGTAATTTTACCATTTTTAGTTTGCAAATGAACATGTTCCTAAACCTGTAAATGAACGTGTTCACGAACGCTAAACGAACAAACATGAACACCAGGGACAAACACAAGATTTTATGTTAGGGGGCGAACTTGAACTTATAAAATTCGAGGACGAAATTAAATTTTCAATATAAAATACATAGAAAAATCTAAAATATATTGTAATTTTAAATTTTTAAGGGACGACAGTTCTGCCTAGGTTCATCCCTAATGAACACCTTAAAAAAATATAAACGAACATGATACTAAAACTTAAATGAACACGAACCAAACTTAACACATTTAAAATTAAACAAACAAACACAAACATATTCTTATTTGTTCAAGTTCGATTCATTTACACCCATAAAAAAATTAAAGACTAATTTTAACATTACACCAAACAATAACTTCAATTTTTATATAAACAATTAATTATGTCTTTGCTATTCTCCTATCATTTTTATATGTAAATTACATCATTCATCCATCAATTATCTTTTCACTCTTATTTTGATACTAAAGTTTAAATTTTTTTAATTTAACTACTCAACTTTCAAATTGTTCATATTTTAATCGCTCTAATTTATTTTATTAATATTTTTGTTACATGACATTTTTATTATTATTTTATTAATATATAATTGAAATGAAAAAATAAATTTGAAAGTTAGAGTGATTAAATTATGAGTAACTTGAAAGTTAAGTAATTAAATTTAAAAAATAAAGTTTAGTGACCAAAATAGGATGAGAAGATAGTTTAGTGATGAATGATGCAATTAACCCATAAAAGGTGCCACATGCAAATCACCCGTTAGGTTTTTAAATGCGAGTTACTAAAACGAAATAAAAATTAAACGTTATGTGATTTAAAAAAAATTGAAAAATTAAAACAGACAAAAACCGAGAGTTTATGTATTAAACACATAATTTACCCTATATATAATGTTCACGAAAATCGTTTCGAGTATCAAGAGGACAAAATAAGTTTCAATCAAAGATAAACATAAGATTTTATATTAGAAGGATAAATTTATAAAATTTGAAGAAGGTGAACTTATAAAATTTCAAAATTGAAATCATATTATTAATAAAAAATATTAAAAAATTATTTAAATTACACGAGAATTTAGAAATTTTAAAATGATGCTTATCTCTACCTACTCTTCTTCGATTCTTCCCTGAGTTTGATGGCGATTTTCTTTAGTGACGCGATAGAATCGTGTTGCACTATCAACCATACAATGTTTAAGACAAGTTAGAGGAAGATGCATTGATAAAACAATTACAAAAAAAAGATTAAGTGTAAACTACACCTTTAGTACCCATCTATCACTTTTGTTCCATTTTAATTACTCAAATCATTTTTTAAGGTTTAAATTAACCATTGCCCCTTTAAACTATGCATTTTGTACCGAGTTATCCCCTACAAAGTATTTTTTGAGACTTGTTGTCCCGTAAAATTAAAATAGTTACCTTATTTGTCTCAAACCGTTAACTTCGGTAAAAAACACGAGGGTAAATTATAAATTTAGTTACTCAACTATTCCAGTGATATTGTATTGGTAACTAAACTACTTTTCTCTTTCAAAAACATCACTAAACATATGAGGGAGAAGAGAGCCTTGTTTGATATGCAAAACTCATTGTACCAAAACCCAGTGTTCGACCAGGAGTTTGATATGGAGTCATGATGGTGCATGGCGAGGAGTTTCGAGAATAGTCACTCAACTATTCCGATGGTATTTTTTCGGTCGTCGAAAATAGCCAATCATCATCCGTCACTGATCATCTTTCGTGACACGATCAATACTAAAATGTTTTCATTTCATTCATCTTCCTTACTAATAATTGAGTGTTACATGGTGAAATTTACCCTTTAAATAATTATGTTATTGTAATTAGGGTAAATTAAATCACAAGTCAATCAATTATTACTAATATTACAAATAGTCACTAAAATTCAAAAAGTTACAAAACAAGTCACTTTAGTTATTGGTTGTAACCAACATGTCACTATATCATTAAGTGTGTAATACTCATGTACTTTTAAGTTACAATTGCATGACTTGATTGTTATAATCAATAAATACAATAACCTGATTGTTATAATCGATAAATACAGTAACCCTAAAAGGCTATCTTTGAACATATTATTAGTAATTGGGTAGCCCACTATTCGTGGGGTAGTCACAAGGACTCAATCAATCCTTTCTATAAAAAAGCTCATATTTCATTTAATATTTTTGGAATTATAAATTGTGGGTAGAAATGATAATGAGTTGGATTAAGTAAGATTTTTTTTATTGACTCAAAATTTATCTCTCTCATTTAACACTTGATCTGAATAAAAAAAAATAACATTTTCATTTAATAAAATAAAAATTTAATTAAAAATAACAAAATATAATAGCATAACTATTATCCTTTAGGGTTATGATCCTTACATTATTTACAACTAATACGTTTTACACTGATTTATTAGTCATTAGATTTGAATAAATAAACGACTTAAATTTAATTAAAATTTATAACTCATAAATAAATATTTTTAACTCATAGTAAAATAATATTTTTATTTATAGGGTTAGGGTTTAAGATTTAAGGTTTATGATAGGGTTTTAGAGTTTGAGATTTTAGGGTTTGGGTTTGAGTTTGAAATTGAGATAAAAAAATGATATGTTTTATTGTGAGTTAAAAGATATTTATTTATAAGTTATAAAATTAAATCTAAGTAATTTATTTATTTACATCTAATAATTATAAATTAGTGTAAAACTTATTAGTGTTACATAACGTAAATGAATCATACCTTATCCTTACATATATAATGGTTAATTATACTATTATTCTCGGATCGAGTGAGGGAAGATATTATTTACCCTAAAAATCCATTATTCCCTACAAAATTTGATTCAAACCCAAAAAAAAAAAGTCAATCTTATAAAACTAAATGATATAAGGATCCATTAAGTTTTGGTCAAATTGTAATCCCTAACCGTAGGGCTTAAAAGGCTACAAATTTTGAGTGAGCTGACAAAGGGTAAACCAGAAAGCTTCCACAAAACAGAGAGCAGAGTACTAAAAGTTATCATTATTGCACTCAAATATGGACGGACAATCCAAGCAGCCTGTTATTGCACTTAAATTGTACAATTTTTTTCTTATTAATTATTATTATTTTATTAATCTAGGTAAGTATAAAGTAATATCGGTTTAAAGATAAACTCTTAATCTTTCGACATTGAATGCTTACACCTCTGGTATCTATGATGCTCGAACTTGAATTCTCAAGAAATAATAATAATTCCTTTACCACATAAGCCAATTGATTCGAGCTATTAATTACTATTTTTTTTCATAACATTTACAAAAAAAAAATTAACCCAAAACAAGGAAAAGCTTTGAGATTAAATAAGTTATTGACCGAGTATTATTATTGCAAACTTTCATAAATTGCATGTTTGAGTGATTTATTATGCAGAGTGGTCCTCTAATGAATAGGCTAAGGGATTTTAGGCCCTTTTTGATAATATTCTCATTCTAACAATTGTAGTGATCTGATCATTGATGATTATAAATTAGGGTAATATATATATTTAATATCTAAATTATTAGTTTTGATCCGTTTTAGTATTTAAATTTTCATTTTTTTTCAAAATTATACTTAACGTTTAATTTTTGTTTCATTTTAGAACCCCGCAGTAAAAACTTAACACGTTTAGTACCTTAACTATCAGTTTTGATCCGTTTTAGTATCTAGATTTTATATATTTTTAAAAATTATCGTTAAATTTTGAAATGGTACTAAAATAGAACAAAAATTAACCTTTAAGTACGATTTTGAAAAAAATGAAAGTTTAGATATTAAAATGAACCAAAATTGATAGTTTAAATACTAACATTATGAGACCATTTAGTAGTGAGCTTAGGGGTGTAAACGAGTCGAGTTGAGTTCGAGTATTGCTGAGCTCTACTCAAAAATTCTGAAATGGAACTCAACTCAAAAGCTCGCGAACTTAAAATTTTCAAGTTCAACTCGAACTCGAAATACTGAAATGAAGCTCGTGAGCAGCTCGAAAAAACTCGAAATGAAAAAAAAATTCTTAAACTTAACTCAATTGAAGCCTCAAACTTAAATATAAACTTTAAATACATAAAAATCTTACTGTATTTAAAAAAAATCAATACATAAATATTATCAATAATTTATTAAAAAAATAAATTTTTAATATATTATATTTTCGAACTAATCACGAGTTTTTCGAGTCGAATATTGAGTGACTTGTTTCGACTCGTTAAGAATTCGAGTCAAACTCGAGTTCGAGTCCATTCGATCCGAATATTTATCTAACCTTGATCGAATCGATCTCGAGTAACTTACGATCTATCTCGTCTCATTTATAACCCTAAGTGATCTCAAGTCCTTTACATTAATGACGGCTCACATTGAACTAGGGAAGTACATAACATTCAGATTTGATGAATTTTGATCCAATTCGCTTTTTATAAGAACAATCGTAAAATCCAAACCTAAAGTTGATAAATTTCGATTTGATATGATTTTATAGAAATAAACTAAAGATAAATATGAAACTCGAACTCGATAGATTTCGATCCTACTCAATTTTATTGGAACCGAAAGGCTTAAACATGGCCCGACGGTACTTTGTTCTTCGATGGGGTTGCTACTAACATCCGATTCGAATCAACTTGATGCATTTCAAGCAACGGATGAAGGTCCTGAAAACAACCCAAGGTTTCATTTTTCCCAGTAGTTTCTAGGTAACCAAACAGGAGAAGGAAAATATGATGGAGAAAAAGAAGTACCTCCAGGGAACATCTTCAGCAAGCAACCAGTCACCTTCTCTGTCTTGATAAGCAAGTTTAAAGCTCTTCTGCAGATGCTCGTCGCCTGTTATACCAGAAAAAGGAGTTCGGATTCACTTGATCTCCATGTTTGAACTTTGAATTCAATAAAGTTCTGGGTTTTTTCAAACTTACGTATATCGAACATTCTCATCAGGGTTGTTGTAAGCGATTCAAAGGAGCGATGAACACTGATGTCAATCTTCCTGGCAATTGCATTCCCTTCCATTTTCACCTTCACGTACGTTGAGACACTCTTCCTCGCCGTCATCTTCGCAGCTACCATGCGATTGTTATTTGGTCTGCCGCTGTGTACGTGGCGGCGGAGCTTCTTTCTCCAGGTTTTCACCGGCGGCCACCCCACTAAACCCTCTCCGTCATTCCTTTCCAAAATCCAAACAAAAGAATTAAATTCAATTATCAAAAGTAAAAACCCATAAATATATATTATTCACCAGGAAAGGGAGAGTGAAGGGTACTTGATAATGGAAGAAGAAGAAGAAGAAGAAGAAGAGTTTTCATGGAGATCATTCGGGTCATCTTCTTCATTAGGTTGGTCACTGTTCCAAAGCAAAAGAGGCAGAGTTTTAGGAACAACCCGAGTCTCACTCCCATCATCAAAGCAGGTCCGTTTTATTCCGCCGCTGCTAGAACTGCTGCCGCTGCTGCAGCAACCGCCATCGCCGTCGGTAACATGAGCGTCGAACGGACACTGTTTTAGCTCGTAACCGATGGGGAGAAAAGGATTAGTTGGAAGAGAGAGTCCAAGGTGGAGCTCCATGCACGAAAAACAACAAAAGCACAAGGATTTGCTCCAAAATAAAGTAGTTGAAAGAGGAGGAAAATGGGAAGAAATATGGGTTTATTGGGAGGGGGAAGGGGGTATTTTAAGGGAGATTGATAGATGGGGACATGTAGCAGACAGAGGGTAACATTTGGTGAAGTGGGTCAGGGTTTTGCTTCACTTTTAGCCGACCTATTTGTTCTCCTTTCCTCTTCCTCCTCTTCTTCTTCTAGACTTCAACCACCATTGTTTTCTGCACCAACACTTCACTCTCATCAAAACTGGGAGTTTCTTGTTCCGCCTCTCGTTCACCTCTCTAGCGGCAGATCTGCAGCTTCTCTACACTCATTTGCTAACACTTGAGCTTTAGGGTAGATTTTTATTATTATAGATTTTAGGTTTCAACAATTGCATGTTAAGAGTGTAACCAATTGATTAAAAAATATAAATAAATATTAGAGTAAATTATGCATTTAAGTATTTAAACTATCAGTTTTAATTCATTTTAGTACTTAGATTTTTATTTTTTTTTAAATTTTAACGTTAAGTTTTGAACTAGATACTAAAATGAAACAAAAATTAAAATTTTTAATAGCAAATACAAAAATGAAAAAGAAACTACTTTAGGTGATTCAATGGTAAAAGAAAAATGTTTTTCTTCGTCTTTACACTCATTTGCTAACACTCAAGCTTTAGGGTAGATTTTGAAACCTTTTATGTGAACTCAATGTTATTAGAAAAATGTTGTTATTTTTATAGATTTTAAGTTTGAAAGGTTAACATCAATCAAACGACTTCTGTTTTGATTACTCGGGTGTTAAATAAAAAAATACCAGAGTGGCATAAATTATTTTATGCTGATACGAAGTGCTTTTTACTGATATGATTGCCACTTGTCATCCATGTATTTTTTTATTTTTTTATTTTTCATTTCATCATATTCTTAACAAAAAAAATCTTTAACAGTTTCATCTCATGTGTTGTCGCCATCGAAATTATCATTTTCTGATGTCTTCTCTGACCATTCAAGACACCGACAAACTCACTTCAATGTCGACTATCACTCTATCCATTTAGATTTCCTTAAAATCTCTATAAAACTCGTAAAATTCAACCAAAATTCAAAGAAAACAACTCAAATCTACAATCCCCATCATCCAATCAACGTTTATATAAATTTTCTCCTTCTCCACCTTCTCATTGTTGGGATTTGGAATAAGATGCCCTATCATAACAACATTAAACGAAATCATGATAGCTAAAATAGAAACAATTCAAAAGTTTAGTGATAGAATTGAAATTTTTAAATTGAGGAACCAAAACAATAACACAATCAATGTCGAGTGATGAAAAAGGTAGTTTACCCTCTATTTAAACCCAATGTGAAAGTCGAACGAATGTGTGAAACACACTCGTATAGGGAGAGTGAGAAAGATTGGGTATTGATGAGATGGAAAAGCAAAGGCTTGAAGAGAAACAACCCTACGTGTGTAGGACAACCTTTTCATACTTTGATTTTCTTCTCCATTTAACACGTCTTTGGTTTCATCATTTCCTTTTATAGGAACACTTACCCTATCGGCTACCCCTTTATTTCTTCCTCGCATCATTTTTAACCCAATTCATTCAAATTTCAAACTATAATTTCCTCTTTTTCTTCTCTTTTCAATTCAAGCTTGCTTTAAAGTATTGGGGACTCCCTCTTGTTTTTTATAGTCATAAATTGGTTGGACCGTATGTCCCATATCTTAATTCAAGATGCATTGAATTTGAAGTATAACATTTTGAGTTTAAACACATTGGATTCCACTTGTTATTCGACCATATAAGATTCGATATAGGTAGGGATGTAAATGAACTGAATGTTTGATGATTTGTTCGTATAATATTTGTTTAATAAATAAGTATGAATAAAATTTTTATGTTCATTTAATAAATGAATGAACACGAACAAAAATGTGTTATGTTCGTTTATATTCAATAACAGGCTCGTTGATTGACTCATTTACTCGATTCTTATTTTTTTTTAGTTTTTTATATTTTAAATATTGGTAAATATATAGACTAAAGTAAAAATGGGGTGAACTCTAGAGTTCAAACTCTAAAGCCTAAGGAGCTAAAGGACTAGTGACATAATTTCACAATTTTTAAACATATAAACGAATAGGGATGGGGATGGGATCCGAACCTAACCCGATCGGGTCGGCTTTTTTTAATTCGGGTTCGGGTTTTTTTAGTGTGATATTTGGGTCGGGTCGGGTTCGGGTTTAGGGTGAAAAATATCCGACCCGACCGAAAAATATATATAATTTTACCTTATATATTTAGGAATAATTATAATAGTACCCCTCTATATATTATTTTTTTTCTAATTAAGTCAATGTTTTTATTGAAAAAAATATTTTTTTTATTATTTCGAGTTCGGGTCGGGTTTCTAAGTTATATATCGGGTTAGGTGAAACCTTGTTTTGGTCGGATTGGGTCTCGGGTTGAGGCTCCCTTGTTCTCGGGTCGGGTGGACCAAAAACTCAATCCGACCCATGTCCATCCCTATAAACGAACATGTTAATGAACAATAAATAAAAGAACACAAATGAATAAATAAACGAATTCGAACCAAACATGAATACACTTAAAAATAAACAAATGAACACAAGCACAATCTTATTGATTCAACTTCGATTCATTTACACCCTTAATCGAAAGCAAGGGTCGAACACACATTCTCTATTTGAGAAAACACTCTTTACATACAACGAAATTATTTGATAGATCCGATTAACTGTGTCATTCATGATCCAACTAATAAGATTCATCCATCCCAAAGTAACTTTATTTTTTTCGATTAAATAAATTATATTATAATTTAAACCAAATTAAAATAGAATACGGATCAGGAAACTCAAACAACAACAAATCTAACAATGTAATGCACGATCACATATTATATATTATTAATCAACACGCAGACTACCTACCATATTCATTGTATATATATTTGTGAAGTACATGCTTTTTTATATAATTAATTACACTGCACGAACATACACAACTCACTAAAATAAATAAATGGGTATTTTTTTATATAAAAAAAAACCTTTTTTGCCATTATTTTATTTTAGAATAATTGTGGAGAATGCAATCCCCAGCAAGATTGTCTTCTCCTAAAAGATAGGTTTGTCTTTGTCATGCTCGGAACAAAAAGATATGTTCCCAATGTGCATTGTTTGTGTTATGTTTGGTGTTGAATCACAGACATCATTAGCTACAATTTGGATCTATGTTTATATTTTAATCTCAATACGATAGAATTTATGAACTCATTGAGTGATTTTTATGATAAAGAAAGAAATATTATTTTTTTAGAAGACTCGAGCTCAAATAAATTTTTATGTATAGTGTTGTGTGTGTAACATATACTACCTTATAATTATCTCAAACTATTATAAACAAAGATAAAGGTTACAAGAGAAGTTCGAGAAGGGATGATTGTACACGCATGGTTGTGCGATGGTGTCCGATCAACATCGAATATTGGTCCAAGCATTTAGAGGGTGTTAATTACAAGGGAGACAATGTGGACCAGAAAAATGTACGGAAAATTTGGGGTGAGTGGCAGGGCTTTAATCACAGTGTCTAGGGGGCACAATGCATTGTATAGTCAATTGAGTGTGCAAAAATGGATGTGGGTAAAGTAAGTCCAAATGAATTGGGGAGTTGAATGGTTAAGGAATGAGATGAATCTGAGTTGAGCCACTTGGTTTGTGGGGATGGAGTGAATGGGTTGTCTTGTTAGGCTATTTTCAATGACTCTAGAATTGTAGGTTGGGGATAACCTAGAGACTAGGTTGTTTGGGACCTTGATTTTTCTCTTCTTACCCATCCCAAGAGGTCCCCAAACTTCTTTTGGACTGATGAAAAACACAAAAATATATCTTTTAATAAGAACCACACTCTAGATTGATTTTTTTAGATTTCTAGATTTAAATTTTAAGTTTTGTAAAAAATATTGTAAGCACATAATTTCATCTTGGTCGATTTAGGATTCAATTTCAGTTTAAACAAGCCCAAATTAAATCGGGTCAACTCAAAACTGGATTTAGACTTGGATCAACTCGACGCAATGAACCATTTATGGTTATAAAATCTCTCTCTTTTTATCCAAAATTCAATTGCGAGTCTCCCTTTTATACCTCTCTCTTCATCCGAAGCCCAAATTAAGATAGAGGTTATAGGGGAAAGAAGGGGAGTGCTTCGAATCTATAACCTAAGAAAATATAAAAGAATAAAGGCGAACAACTTGATCAATTGATAAATATGATTACTCACAAACCTTAAATATTAACATTAAATATTAAAAAAACATTACCAACATACTAAATCATGAATTTGATATGAGTTAATGTTTAAAGGTTGTCCCTCATTGTTAGGGGTGTATAAAAATACCTGACCCGGATCTAAAAAATTGGGGTAATTTTCTAAAAAAAAAGTACCAGGCCGGGTACCCGACCCAATACTTTCTGAGTTGGGTCTGAGTCACAAAAATTGATTTTTTTAGATACCCGATTAATTTATATATATATATATATATATATATATAAAATTTTTAATTGCATATTAGATATAGATATGGGGATATGACTAATATGATACCCCAAGTCCCTTGAGTACATGGAAAAGCCTTCCGAAAAATCTAACACACCCATATCCGATACTTGCACCCAACATGCTCATAATCTTATTTCAATCTTCCATTTTTGATTTCTTCATATTCATTGATATGTTAATATTTCGAATTTTTAAATTTTGTGTTTTGATGTTGGACTATGTAATTCGAAGTTTCGAACATTTAAATTTGTGTCTTTTTTATATTTAATAATTTGAAGAAAAAAATCCGGGTATCCGAGTACCCGACATACGAGTACCCGCAAAATACGGGTACCCGAAATATCCGGGTACCCGAAACATCCGGGTCGGGACACGGGCCGAGAAATCACTGACCCGAATGTTCCGTGTACCCGGATTTGCACACCCCTACTCATTGTTACTAATAAGAACTACAATAAGGTCAATAATTTGGTTAAATTTTTCTATTAATCCTTATACTTTTTCAAGTAAAATATGTTAAGCCAAATCTTAACATTATTATATGTATTATACATAAATTCTATATTTAATTCATGTTTCCCATTTAATACTTTTAAGTTTAAATAATTTTTCTTGGATTTGGATGGGAGAATAGAGCACTTTCACACGTGGGGCAGAAATTGATGACAAAATTGAAAGGTATTCATGTGATGTAGGCTTCCAATGAAAAGTACAATTCTTTGCTTCTTCCATTTTGATTTTTTTATATGTTTAGATTTTTTGCAATTTATTTAATATTTTTAATTTATTTTATCATAATCTTTATTTTATTTTCTGATATTAACTAATTTTTTGATAACATTTTTATTATAAATTATTGTTTAAACTCAGATAGTAAAGAATGCAAAAAATCAGAGTAAAAAAAAGCAACAAAAAATACATATATTTACAAGGTTTTAATAGTAATTTAATTTTGTACTAAGTTTGGTGGCACCGAAGTTTAGGGACATATCGATTTTGTCACTAAACTTTTAACTAATTTATACTTTTTGTATTATACTTTTTCAACTGTCGTCGACAACAAATCACTGTCCGTCATCAGTTGTCTTTTGTGATAAAATCGATATTAAAACTTTTGCATTTCACTTCACTTTCTTCTCATGGGATTGGTTTTACAAAAAACTCAATCACAATCAATGAATGTTCATTTAAAAATTTGACATGTTAATACTCAGATCTCTTCCGATGATCGTCTGATGAGGTTAGTTTTGAGATATGTAGTTAGTCTTCTCGAAATAATATTTCTCACTGTTCAGATTTTTGAACAAACACCTCAAACCTAAGAAAGTCTCCAAACCCCTAAAAATAGTAGATTTTTTTTATTGATTTTGAGAACATTTTGGTATCGTTTCTACTGAGAAAGGCGATCAATGACGGGCAGTGATTGACTATCAACAGTAGATGAAAAAGCGTAGTGCTAAAAAGTGAATTGTTTAAAAGTTTTGTGACAAAATCGATACACCATTAGAATTCAATGCCTAAAACGAAAAACGATATCGTTCTGTCTATGTCATTAAACCGTTTGGATTTTAATAGCCCAAAAACATAATTGAAGTTAAAACCAAAGTTAATACTATAATTAGAGAAATCGGAAGTTCAACAGCATAAATGATATATCACCTAAAGTTCAGTGGTATCAGATGTAGTTTACCCTAAAATATATATACGTGCATTGTGTTGTCCCTTTAGACAGCTAAGCTTTCCTAAATTAACCATGCACAAATTGTTCCACCTAATGGCCTAGAAAATTTGGTAGTTCGTAAAATTAAGGGATAATATTGGGAATTGAGATTTGAATAAATATAGTAATAAGTGGATTCAAATATTTAAAACCTATTAAATTTTATTATATTCATGTATAAGTGAAAGTATTTTATATAAAAATATATTTATACACAAATTTTTCAAGGGTATATTACTAATTTAGTAACTGAATTTTACTCTCTCTCCTATCTCACCCATTGTACTTTAAATATTTTCAATTTCCTCATTGAACTTAATACATTGGAGTTTTTTTGTCACTCAACCATTAAATAGTTAACGGCGTTAAAATGAGTTGTTATATAGATGCAAAATAACGTCGTTTTAGTAAAAAAAATATTTTTATAAAACATCATTTTTAACGTCGTTAACTATTTAACGGAAGAGTGACCAAAATAAGAGAGAGTAAAGTTCAGTGACAAAAATCCATTGTATTAAGTTCGGTGAGAAAATTAAAAACTTTTAAAATTCAGTGAGCAAAATAAGAGAGATGGTAAAGTTCAGGATGAAATTTGCAATTTACCCAGTTATTAATAATGTGTTTGAATCTTAAATAATAAATTTTAATTATTTTATTTAAAATATTTTATGTAAAAGTATGAGAAGATGAAAATACTTATATAAAAATTAAATCAATTAAATTATTTGATCAATTTTAATTATTTTAGGGTAAATTACGGATTTAGTACTTAAACTATTTGTTTTGGTCTATTTTAGTATCCAAACTTTCAATTTTTTCAAAACCATACCTAAAATTTAGTTTTCATTTTAGTACCCACCATTAAAAGCTTAATGCGTTTAGTACCTAAAATTTCAATCTTTTCAAAAATTAATGTTAAATTTTGAATGAGGTACTAAAATGAAACAAAAACTAAAGTTTTTAATGGCAGCGTATTAAAATGAAACAAAAATTGAATGATTTTGAAAAAAAATGAAAGTTTAGATACTAAAACGAACAAAAATTGATAGTTTAGGTGCTAAACACAAAAATTACCCTTTTTTGATAAAACCCATTTGGAATTTAATTTTCACACTATCTATTCAACAAATGGGTCGTTTTCAAACCACCCATATCTTGTTGGGCTATAAGGTAAGTTCCCATCTTAGATAGGGTTGAGTGCATTTTTGGTTTATACCAAAATGAAAATTTTATCATGACAAGATTTTGCACTAATTTTCCCCTTAAAGGATGAATTTGACCCCAAATATCAGTAGGGTTAGTACATTAATTATATGGTTGGTCCATTAGGGGTTCATCGTTTAGCAATTTTGGGCATGAGATGGAATGAAAAGTATAGATACCAATGCAGTAATTAAACCATCTTCTAAACAAATTTTGTTCAGTGTATTGATAACAATGGTCGCCCTATCAATAGACATTAGCTTTTGCTTGTGTTGGGCCTATAAGAGGAATGGAAGAAAATAACCCATAAATTAAATATTTTCGATTTTAATAGATTTTGATCCGATCTAATTTTATAAGATTAATTTTGTCTAAAATTCAGACTTGAGACGAATTTTGTGAAGGAGAGAGTCAGAGTTGAAAAAGAGTCGAATTTAGAATAATTTTTCCGATAAAATATAATTCGAATAATTATTAGGGTAAATTATGTATTTAGTATCTAAATTATCAATTTTTATCCATTTTTAGTACCTAAACTTTTATTTTTTTAAAACCATACCTAAAGTTTAGTCTTTGCTTCATTTTAGTATCACGCCGTTAAAAACTTAACGCGTTAGTACCTAAACTACCAGTTTTGATATGTTTTAGTACCTAAACATTCAATTTTTTTTCAAAATTTAACATTACATTTTGAACATGGGTACTAAAATGAAACAAAACTATAGTTTTTAATGGCGAGATACTAAAATGAAACAAACTAAAATATAGGTATGAATTTGAAAAAAGTTAAAAGTTTAAGTACTAAAACAAACAAAAACTGATAGTTTAAGTATGAAGTGCAAAATTTAACCTAAATATTATAATTTATCTCTCTATGGAGAGATACCCATTATAATCTTCATCTCTCTATATATTTTAAATTACCTCTTTATCTTGTAAAATAAAAAATATATATTCGTGTGAAAGGGGGTTTGAATATAATGAAAATGGTGGTGTATTTGAAAAATAGAATTTAGAAAGTTTTTTTTAGGGTAAATTAGATATAAATCATTGTTCAAAGACCTATTTAATGTTCTAATAAAAATTTAGGGGTATAACTAAATATTAACATTTTTATTAATATTCTTACATCATTAATTTAACGGGATGATAGTGGAGCGACAATTTTATTATAAATAGATAACATTAGTGACTAATGTTTTACTTTTGAAATTTTAGTGGAAAAATGAAAAATTATTTGAACATCAGTTGTCATTGGTGTAGTTTACCCTATTTTTTAAGTCCTAAATAAGGGTAAACTACACATGTAGTACATAAACTGTTAGTTTTGGTTTGATTTAGTACCTAAACTTTCATTTTTTTCAAAACATACATAACATTTAGTTTTTGTTTCATTTTAGTACCCCATCGTTAAAAACTTAACGCATTTTATACCTAAACTATCAATTTTGGTCTATTTTAGTACCTAAACTTTCAATATTTTTCAAAATTTAACGTTAAATTGTGAACGAGGTACTAAAATGAAATAAAAACTAAACTTTAAGTATGGTTTTGAAGAAGTTAAAAGTTTAGGTACTAAAACAGATCAAAACTAATAATTTAGGTCTAAAAACGTAATTCACCCCTTAAACAAGCACTTCACAAGTTGTTCTGTTATTGCCGCCGCCGTTTCTGGGTTTCATTTCAAACCCAGCTCTCGCTTTTTCCGATTTTGCTTAATTTCACGATATGGGTAAGCTCGATTCTTCATTATTTATTCTTTCAATTGTTAATGTTTCTAGAAATCTTTCTACCCACGTTAAATCTGTAATTAAAAATTGTCTGTCTGTAACTGGAGTGCGGAATAAGAATGATAGTTTCTATAACGTTGATGATGCTTTGGCTTTGTTTAATCGGATGATTAACAAGCACCCTCAACCTTCAATTGTGGAATTTACTAAATTATTAGGAGCCATTGTTAGATTGAAACGTTATGCCATTGTTTTTTCTATGTGTAGAGGGATGGAATCAGTGGGAATCTCCCACGATGATTATTCTTTGAGCATCTTTATAAATTGCTTTTGTCGATTAGGTCGAATCGATTTAGGGTTTTCCGTTTTTGGGAAAATGTTGAAGTTAGTTGTTAAACCCAGTATTGTAACTTTCTCCACTTCGATTAATGGACTTTGTAATCAAAGTAAGATTTCTCAGGCTGTTAGTTTGTTTGATGAAATGATCGAACGAGGTTATCGGCCTAAACTGTACAATACTCAAGGGTTTGTGTAAGATCAGCCATACTGATAAAGCTGTTAGAATTTTAAGGATGATGGAAGGAAGAGGTTTCGAGCCCAATATTGTAGCATATATCACAGTCGTTGGCTCTTTTTGTAAGAAAGGGTTGTTAAAGGAGGCTATCGAACTGTTCTCCGAAGTGAAGGTTAAGGGCATTCGACCGAATACCGCGACTTACAATTGCTTAGTTCATGGTATGTATAGTTTTGGCCTGCAGGAGGAGGCAACAAGGCTTTTGAATGAAATGGTGGATGCAATATTTCACTTGATGCTATCACCAATAATATATTGGTCGATGCACATTGCAAGAAGGGGATGATTGCTGAAGCTGTAGACACTGTTGACTCGATGATAAAGCGAGGCGTTGAGCCTAATGTTGTCACTTGTAATACATTGGTTGACACACATTGCAAGAACGAAATGATTCGTAAAGCTGAGGATATTGTTGAGACAATGATAAAGCGAGGCATTGAGCCTAATGTTGTTACATATAATACATTGGTTGATGCACATTGCAAGAACGTGATGATTTCTAAAGCTGAGGATATTGTTGAGTCAATGATAAAGAGAGGCATTGAGCCTAACGTTGTTATTTATAGTGCATTAATAGACGGTCATTGCTTGCAACACAATGTGGATAAAGCTAGAAGAGTACTTCAATTGATGATTGAGAATGGTTGTTTGCCTGATATATGTAGTTACAGCATTATGATCAAAGGATATTGCAAAGCCAAAATGTTGGACGAAGCTATGGAACTCTTTCATGAAATATCTCGAAAGGACCAATTCCTAATAGTGTCACATTCACCACTCTTATGCACGGTATGTGTCAATTAGGGAGAAGTTCAGCTGCGTGTGAACTTTCGAGGAAGATGGTTGCTTTGGGACAAGTTCCGGATATAGTGACCTGTTCGATCTCGCTGCATAGTGTATGCAAAAGAGGTAAACTTGAAGAGGCATTGGAACTTTTTGAAGCAATACGAAACAGTGGGTTGAAACTTGATAATTTCTCTTATAATATCCTAATGGATTGCTTGCGCAAAGCTGGGCAGATCAAAGTTGCAAAGGAATTATTTCACGATCTCTTAGTCAATGATTTAAAGCGAATGTTCACACATATGCTATATTGATCAATGGACTCTGTAAAGAAGGATTGCCAGATGAAGCATATCAGTGATCTAGGAGCATCAGATATAATGATTGCTTGCCTAATAGCGACTGTTATAACGGAACGATCCAGGGGTTTCTTCGAAACAACTATACCTCAAAGGCAACACAACTTCTTAAGGAAATGGTCGGTAAGGGACTTTCTGCAGATTTATGCACTCCCACCTTATATGTGAATCACATCTTAAGATCTAATAATTCAATCTGAGGTACCCTTTTCCTTTCCTTTGTTATTATGTTTGAAATTTATAGCTATACATCGCATGCATTTGGATGTTGGAATTTAATGTTTGGATTTTTTTAGTTCAAAAATGTCAAATGGGTCAGTTAGATTGCTTGGTTAAGGGCATTAGACCAGAAACCTCAATTTACAATTGCTTATTTTATGATATGTATAGTTTTGGCCTGCAGAAGGAGGCAACAACGCTTTCGAATGAGAACGGTGGATAACAATATTTCACTCGATATTATCACGTATAACATATCGGTCGATGCACATTGCTAGAAGTGGATGATTTCCAAAGCTGTAGACACTATTGACACATCACACGATGATAAAACGAGGCATCGAGCCGAATGTTGTCACGTATAATACATCGGTTGATAAACGTCGTGAGAACGAAATGATTTCTAAATGAGGATATTGTGGAGACAATGATAAAGCGAGGCATTGAGCCTAATTGTCACATATAATACATTGGTTGATGCACATTGCAAGAACGGGGTGATTTGTAAAACTGAGGATATTGTTGAGTCAATGATAAAGAGAGGCATTGAGCCTAATTGATATAATTAGCAATTTTGTCCTCAATTAGTTGGTTGATAATTATTTGAATGCTTAATTTTTCGGTTTAGTTCCGATACGACTCTGATTAAGTTCAAATAAGTTAATGCGACATCTTTAATTTGATTTTTGATTAAGTCGGGTTAGTGGTGTTACATATTAAATAAAAAATAATTATATTTGTTTATTATCAAAATAAATGTATGCATTTATTTATTTTTATAAAATATACAATTAAATCAAAATCAAAATATAATGTGTATAATTGAATCAAAATCAAAGTTTATATATACTTTTAATATTTAGGGTAAAGTACACAAATGATCCTCCGACTATAGAACATAGCTTTATTAAGTCATCCGACTATTAAAAGTTACAAAATGGTCCTTCGACTATAGGATGTTGCTTTGTTAAGTCCTTCGACTTTTAAAACTTATAAAATGATCATCCGACTATTCATTATGTTCCAAACTCGTTTTTTTCGTTAAAAAATTGACGACAATCTGAGCTGGATGTTAGTATGTTGTATGAGATATGATAGTCGTTTGAGATTTTGAGATCAGATTTTATCATATCTTAGACAACATATTAACATTCAACTCAGGCTTCCGTCATTTTTCTAACGAAAAATAATGAATTTAGAATATACTCAACGAAGTAACATTCTATAATCGGGTGAGCATTTGTGTACTTTACCCTAATATTTATCTCGAGCTTTTATGTCTTGAAATTGCGAAATTATTTTTCCAACAAAAGCATTTTATTAGATTTATATGCCTCATTAAAAAAACTTCCTAGTCCTAAATGAACGAAAAGAGTACATACAATTAGGTAATACAAGGCTTGCAACCGAAATTGCGATGTATGGAAGCCTTAATATATAGCTAAGGAAATGCCCTACCGAAAATGTTAATATTTTTTTAACATTTTCGGTAAAACACTACTTAAAACATTATTTTTTACCGAAAATGTTAATTTTGCTAACTAATTTCTGGTAGAACCCATTATTAACATTTCCGGTAAAAAAAATAATGTTTTAGGCAGCTCTTTACCAGAAATGTTAAAAATTTTAGGTAGCACCCAATATTAATATTTTTTGTAGAAAAAAAAAATGTTTTAGGTAACACTTTACTGAAAATGTTTAAAAAATAGTAATATTTCCGGTAACGCCTTTCCTTAACCGTATATTAAGGCTGCCGTACCTGAGACACCCCGCACCGCGCACACAAATTTCACGAGTAATATTTGTTACAGGTATAAATGAATTAGGTTTGAACGTATGATGTTGTATTTGAATTTATTTGTAAAATTGTTTATATTCACTTATTCGGTTTGTGTTTATTTAAACTTTTATTGTCGCGTTTGTATTCGTTTATCTATTTTCGATAGTGTTTGTATTCGGTTCATTCAACGTTTGTTAACATATTTGTTTAATATCCACATACATTTTCATTCAAATGTTTTCGACATATTCATTTAGTATTCACGAATATTATTCGATGTACAATCTTTTTACCCTTTTATACGCGAGTCAAAGAAAAATTGTAAAATTACACTACTAGTCTTTAGTTTCGTTAGACTTTATACTTTGAACTGTAAAATTCACAATGTGTTCAATTTAATCCCTATATTTATCATATATATTTAAAATATAAAAAGTAAAATAAAAAGGGGAATCGAATAAACGAGTTACTCGTGAACATAAATGAACCGAACACATCTTTTTTCGTGTTAATTTATTCATTAAATGAATATAAAGATTTTGTTTATACTCATTTATTTAACTTAATAATAAAACATAAATGAATATTATACAAAATGTTCACGGATAATTAATGGAACACCCTATTTACTTACACCACTAACCTTTGCTCATCCCATCGATTGTTTTTGCTTATACATGATGCACCAGCGGGTAGATACAGACTGAGATTTTATTGCACAGCTTTGATCATGCGTGCAAAGGGGACGTTAAATTTAGGGAAAAAGCCTTTACAACTTGACAATGACATGAAAAGAACAATTGCAGAATATATATATATATGGGAAGAGAGAATAATGGTGTAGCAGTGGTTTCTGACATGCACAGGGTTCCCAAACTTTCAAATTGGGGTGTAAGTTGGCAACCAACTTTCTTGTTCTTTAACTTCAAATGGTTGTCTTCTCTCTTGGACTGGTTTCATTTCATTTGCTAGTTTAACCCCAAGGGCCAACACCATGTTACTGTCTGTCTGACTTCTTTTATGTAATAAAATAGTGGTTTATTGATGCAAATTCCCAGGTAACCGCAAGTCAAATTCATAGGATCATGATGTTGGAATGGAGGAAGATTATATAGATGGTGTTGGTGAGAGAACTGACGTTATGATTTTTGATGATTTTTTTAATTTAGGTGGAGAATCGCAGTTGATCATTCTATGAAAAAGATAAAACGAGAATAAGTTAAAAGAAATTTAGTTAAGAGTTTCTTGTATGATGATTTATATTTATTTTTTAATGTTGGTGTTATGTCTAAAGTAATGATGATTATTTGTATATTTACATGATGAATATACCTAATTCAAGGGACAAAGTGTAATTAATAATAAAGAATGAGATGAGAAAAATCAAAATAAATGAACGTTTTTTTATCGTTTGAACGTTACAGTACTGACGTGGCAGTTTACAGTGTTAATGTGATAGTATATCTACCATATTTGAGTTACTGATTTATCACATCTGCCATGTTTTCCGCCACATTATCAACCACCATGGATTGTCACGTCAACACTGTAGACTACCATGTTAGTACCGTGAACTATCACGTCAGCATCATAAAAGTCAACGATGAAAAATATTGGTCAAAGGGCCACATTGGACTTATTTTCTAAACTGGAGGGTCACATTGAGAGAAAAAATAATACGAGGATCATATTATTTTTTTTAAAAATGTACGGGACCTCCTATACCTTTTTGCCAAAAAAATAATAAAAATAGATCATATTTACGAGTGAAGACTTAAAATTTATATTAATTAGATTTTAAATGAATTATAAATCTTTAGAGTAACCAAAAATATTATTTAACTATATAATATAAAATTTAAAATATTAAATATAAAAAATAAAAAATAATATAAAAATATTTTTATTTATTTTATTAAATAAATATTACTTTAAGTTCACTTGATTTAGTTAGATTTAGTTATTGGAGAAGAGGATTTTGAGAGAATGTCTCAGGTACGACAGCCTTAAAATACGGCTAATGAAAAACGTTACCGGAAATATTATTAGTTTTTTTAATATTTTCGGTAAAAAACTACCTAAAACATTATTTTTTTTACCAAAAATATTAATATTGGACTATCTAAAATGTTTAACATTTCTGGTAAAGCGCTACCTAAAACGTTTTTTCTCTACAGGAAATGTTAATATTGGGTTCTACCATAAATTAGTTAGCGAAAATAATATTTTCGGTAAAATTGTTTTAGGTAGCACTTTACCAGAAATGTTAAAAAAATAATAACATTTCCGGTAGGGCCTTTCCTTAGTCGTATATTAAGACTATCGTACGTCAGAACTACCCGGATTTTGAACTCAAAATAAATGTATTAATAAGATTAAATGACTAGCAAATCATACATTGCCTTGTAGGCCTGTAAATGAACTGAACGTTCAGCGAACCGTTCATGAACCGTGCGGCGAGAAGTTCGTTTATGTGCGTTTATTTATTAAATGAACGAACATGAACAAGATTTTTTGTTCGTTTAATTAAATGAACGAACATGAACATAGGTCTCGTTCGTTCATTTATGTTCATGAACGTTTGGTTATGTTCGTTCGGTTATGTTTGTTTATGTTCATTCGGTAATGTTCGTTTATGTTCATTCATTTATGTTTAACCCAACCTTCTTAAATCAATTTTGGTGATCAATTTGTAAGTATCTTAAAAATATTAATTAATCTGATATTCTGATAACCAACTCCATAATTAACCCAATTTTATTTGGAGATTAAATCCAATATGTTAACCCGTGAGGCACCTCGCACCTATATTCAATCCCTTTTTTTCCCCAAACCCTAGTGTTCACTGGAGAGTAGAGACGATCGCTAAAAGCTTCAAAACAAGTTATATTATAGTGCAATATGAAGTTTTACTGGTCTGTTTTCATCTCATTCTCTGTTTTATTTGGCTTAATAGTTGATATGTAAAGTTATTGCGGGTATCTTCACATCTAAAACTCAAGAAAACATCATACTTCTTTCTAGAAATAGATGTGAAGATAAATGTAACAATAGGAAGTATATGAGCATCAGTAAAGAGAAAAATATATAGAATTTGTCAGAAAACAAAACAAAGGTTTCTATACAATTTCTGAAAAAGAGTGTAATAGCGGAAAATGATTGTTCATATGTAATCATAGACCACTAAGATAAATGTTATAGCGTTAAATTAAAGTCGTGTGAATCATTTAATATCTTTAAAAGATCGATCAAAATATTTGATATATTTAAACATTTCATCAATGCTAATCAACTTTTACGCTATTTATCACTGTAGATTTGGTTGATTTGCATTGTCAACTATTTTTCATGAAAAAACAATGGAAGGTAGGGTCTCCAACGTTTATGTTCGTGTTCGTTTATGTTCTTGTTCGTTTATGTTCGTTTATTTATTAAATGAACAAACATGAACAAGTTATATTCCTTAATAAACGAACATGAACAAAAAAAATTTGTTCGTTTATGTTCGTGTTCGTTTATTTATTAAATGAACGAACATGAATATACCTCCGTTCGTGTGCGTTCGGTTCGTTTACAGGCCTATTGCCTTGGCCTCATCTTCCCTCCATATCTTGAATTTCTAAACAAATAAAAACACATTCTCCCCCACCAAATTAAGGCAATCGAAAAGAAAAAGGAAAACACTATATAATGCATTTCATTTCATGGGGCTCACAAAAGCTGCAATGGGGGAGACATGTACATTGCGGTGCCTCATAACATCAACATATCCCAATACCATTTTACTTGCATTATTTCTCACCTAATTTTCTTTGTCTCCATAATCATTGAGTTGCATTAAGTTAAACAAAGTGCTTGGACATCGGTTAATTAGTTTACTTGTTTAGGGTTTCATAACTTTGGTAGAGAAATGGATATCAAGTTAAACACTTGTCGGTTAAACTATGATTAATGTTGAAGCACATGTAAAATCATGTCAAAAAGTTCAACTTTACGACAAGATGAATAGCTAGTAGGCACTACAATTATTTGGTAATAATGAGACATGTTCGGTTGAATACCCAACTTAAAATCTTTCAATATGGTAATAATAACACATGTTTAGGGCATCTTTCTCTCTCATATGAATATCTAGGGAGAAAGTGGAATCTCAAACATATATATATATATATATATATATATATATATATATATATATATATATATATATATCAATATCGAGTTTATTTAATGGGATAAAATATTAAATCCTTTAATTAAGGTTAAGAGTTCAAATTCTAACATTATGAATTGAACAAATTGAGTTGAGAGGGTCACCCCCATAATAGACCTACTAGTATCCAACCTAGATTAATCGATCAATAGATCAAATACTAATATGATCTAATATATATATATATATATATATATATATTAGAATAAAAAATTTGATATGAAATCAAACCCAAAATTTAATCATGTCAAGTTATCAAGAATATATTATTAGGTTTATGAAAGTGTATCTGAATTCATTGTAAAGATTATCTAGGAGGTTCAAATATTCCAATACTATCTGACGAGAATATAAGTAATACAAATTAACCTATTTTTTTCTTTTTAAAGATCATTATCTCTTTATATAAACAGAATATTATGTCAATATTTTAAATATTTATAGCAAGTTATAAATATAATTTATAGTATCTACACTTTGTTTCTATGACACTTTAATACCTATAATACATATAACATACTAATTCTGTATCATACTTTATAATACCATTATAGATTATATATATATATGTACCTACAATTGCGAATTTTAATCTAACAAAATATGGTTCGCTTTGCTCGTTTGCTTTTACATATTATAGAGAGATGGTGTGAAAGTAAAGCAAAAGTTAATGAACAAAGGGGCCCTTGCACGAATGCCTTGCATATCTCAGTTGGCTATATAGACTTGTCATTTCCTATAAACATATAAATATAATCATCCCTTTCTCATTTAACTCGCTATATTAACGATCATCTTCCTTTTCGGGGCCGAGTGAGTGAGTCAAGACGAGAGAAAGATCAAAGAAAGCAAATTGAGAATGGTGAATCGTACGGAAAAGAAGGCACACCCTAAAAGAGGTTTATGGAAACCAGAAGAAGACTTGATCTTGAAAAACTATGTAGAGGCTTACGGAGAAGGCAACTGGGCAACCGTGTCTAAGAGATCAGGTATATATATATATATATATATATAAAGTATTTACTTATATATACAGTTCGGTTTTACTTTTCAAGTTATATTATGCATGAATGGAGATGTAGGGTTCAGTATATCTTAGTCTGGCAGTGTGACAACTTGGGAGTTAATGAGTGAGATTCGATATGGTATTGAATGTGCTCTCGTGTTAGTTTTATTACGTGTAGGGTATATGTAGATATACTGGCTCTTCAGTATGGACAGAGTTTTTCGCCATCCTACTGTTTTGATTGTAATGTGTAAGTTTTATGGGAGATTTTTTTTCATCTTATCTTATGTGGATTTTATAATAAATAAAATATTTGTCGTGCAAAACAAATATAAATTACATGTAGTTCATAGAAAATATATGTAAATGTTTTTAGGGTTGATGAGGGGAGGGAAAAGTTGCAGACTTCGATGGAAGAATTACTTAAGACCAAACATCAAACGAGGAGGAATGTCCAAGGAGGAAGAAGACCTTATTATCCGAATGCACAAGCTTCTCGGTAACCGGTTAGTATTCGAATCTTTAACTTTGAATGTCACATTTAAAAGATAATTGCATGAATTTATTAGATTATACTGTAATTGGAATCACAAACTTACATATTTCTAGCATAGTTTACATTTTTTGTCCATGTGACCAATGTTACATCTTCATTTCAAAAAAAAATTGTAGATGGTGTTTAATTGCCGGTAGACTTCCCGGTCGGACCGACAACGAGGTGAAGAACTATTGGAATACACATTTGAACAAGAAAGCCCCTTTAGGCGAAAAAAGAAAAACTATCGACTCAAACGCACAACACTACGACGGTATCGAGGATCGCGACAGCAAGAAACCGAGGCAATCGCATGATTTGGACGAAAACAAAGAAGCGAACGGAGACGATAACGTCGGTGTTCGAGACGTCACCGCCGGTGCGTGGATGGAACGTGTGGTTCGGTTCCTCGACTACGAGTACGAGTTCGATTACGAGACGGTGGGAACACCATTGACGATGCACCACAATTACTCAAATCTCGTGTTGGATGAAGAGCCTTTCGCATCCTACATGGACCCCTTTGTTCTGTTTGAAGCATTTGGGACGATTGATTCCGATGTGGGATTGGGAATCAAATCACTCTTGCCTTAAAAGATACGGTATTTATTTAACATGGACCACCTGAGCAGACCACTTTGCTAGCTTTTTTCCCACAGCTTTAGGCTTTTTACCATTTGGGTGCATTGCCAGCATTACGTTCTAGTGCATTATGAGGAATTTCTTTTTTTTTTTTTAGAAGTGAAGTGAGGATTATAATTTTAACTTATTTGTATTTTGACCCTAATGCTTTAAGTTAATATTATAATTCTTTTCTTTTCGGAAATTAGAGTTATAATAGCTTTGGAGTCAATTTTGCCAATGCTTGTAATATAATATTTACTATTATTAGTATTGATTATCAACATTTGTATGAAACTCCCCCAATTCAATCAAAATCAGCATCCCAAGAAAGCTGAAAAGAAGAGAACAAGTACCTCCATCATGGGAAAAAGGTGGCCTAAAAAATGAACATTTTTGTCCATGAATATTGATGATTGTCATAAAAATTACGGGTAAACTATGCATTTAGTACTTAAACTATCAGATTTGGTACTTAAACCATAAGTTTTGGTTCGTTTTAGTAACCAAACTTTCAATTTTTTTAAAAATTTGACATTACATTTTGAACGGAGTACTAAAATGAAATAAAAACTAAACTTTGGGTATGATTTTGAAAAAAATTAAAAGTTTAGATACTAAAACGGACCAAAACTGACATTTTAAGTACTAAATGTGTAGTTTACCCTTAAACTTATTTATTGTGGAGAGGATATGTATTGGTATCAAGAGATGTTAATTTTTTTTTATTAATCTAGGGTGATTTTGTTTTGCTCAGCGAGATAGGATTTATTTATTAAACAAACTTAAATTAAGAGCCTCATTAAAAATCTCCCTAAACTTAAATTGAGGAAAATAATACTCTTAACTAGGTAGAAGGTGCATTCCAACAAACGTTAACATTTCAATTCCACCAAAAACAACATTGTGGATTGCATACCCAAGGAAGTAAAGCAAAACATAAGACTAAGTTAACACCAACTTTAAACTACTATTTTAGACACCCGTTTTTGTCCGGGTTCTAACTTGTTATTGTCATTTTATTTATTTATTTATTTATTATTATTATTATTATTGTATCAATAGTAATTATTTACATTTTGTAGGAATACCAAGAAACAACAAAACCCAAAGAATCAGTCCAAATGAAATAACCCGAAGCTCACACATGAGCCCAAACCCGACTAGGGTTTTCACCCATTAGCCCCAGTCGACCTAATTTACAGCTGTTGGATATGATAAAGATCCAACGGTTCACAGATCTATCAGTAATTAGGGTTTTACCCTAATCTGTGAAGCAACCGCCACCGCCGATGGAATCTGGGCCATCATCCTGGCGCGTCTGATGTACGCACACATCCTCCAGCACCCAACTGACACGTGAACTCCATCGGGAGCCTCCTCAGCCGCGTGAGCCGTCGCCATAGTCATCAAATCCTCCAAACAGTGAAGAAAATCAATCCATCAATCAAAACAAGCAAATCAAAGTCAGAAAAACCCAATAAAAAATTAAAAACAAATTCAAATCATTATCCTGATGAAATCTGGTTCTGTCACAAGCCGAAAATAGGGTAATCAGACCCTATCTTCCCGATAGCAACACAAATATTCATCAAACCATCACATGTAAGCAGATTAAAAGGAGTGAGGCAAACAACACACATCAAGGGAGAGTTTTCGGTGGGGGGAAGAGAAAAAAATAAAGCAGAGACCGAAAGAGAGAAACCCGTTCGAACAAAAAAAAGAGAGGGGAACGAAACAGAAAAACCCAAAAGAAAAAAGAACTGAAAACAGAGAGGAGAAACCTAAAAAAACACAACACATTCGAAATAAAAAAAACTACCAAGAAAGAACCTTGAAAAACCTAAAAAAGAGAAGAAAAGTTTACCTTTTGGGTAAGATCTGAGACCTCTCAGCTTCATCGTGGGCGAGGAAACACCCATCGAAGGTAAAAAGATATGTTTTTTCCTTTATAATGGGGATTTAGGTTTTGGTGGGGTTGATTTTGGGTCTTGAATCATCAAAAGGAGTCGTTTTGAGGCCTCATGGTGTCGAGAGGAGGGGTTTTGGTCTCTTTTCCCTCATTAGAACAACCGGTCCGCGGTGGCCAGAGGGATTTATGTGTTTCTGTTTCACGGTGACAGAGTAGGTTATGGGAGAGTTCTCTCCCTTATGATTTCTTTAGGTTTCGGTTGAAAGGAAAAATGAAATAGGGTTTCAAAGGAAACCCTTGAAATGAGTTATATCCCAACTTCAGTTTGACGTTGTATAAGAAAGAAAGGGTCGCGTGTTTTGATAAAGGGTTATATCCCAAATACTTTTTTATTTCAAAAACCCCAAACAATAAAACCCCTATTTTTGATTACTGTAATAATAAAAACTAGGGTTTTGACGACATACTTTTCGATTCGACTGCAACAACAAATAAACTTCACTTTAAAAATGCCTTCTGAAATGCAACAACAATTTCACTTCGATTTCGAAAACTACGGCCGTGTTCTATCTTTTTTTAGAGGAAATTTAACTACGCCTTTGATATTTTAATCGGATATGTTATTTATATTAAATCGATACAATTACCCAAGTCTCGATACTTTTATGTCAGGTGTCGATACTTTCGATACATTTTCATTTTTTCTTTTAAAAGTATCAATAATTTCTTACGTATACTTATTAAAGTATCGATACGTTTAACATATCTGGTAGCACTTTACCGGTTTTGTCATAATGAAACCGATTTTGTCATATTTTGACCTGTTATATTGTTATGTATCGATACATGTTTATAAAGTATTGATGCTTTATAGGCGCTATTATTGTTTTTCTTTTAAATTCCAAAAGTATCGATACTTATTTGAATGGTATCGATACCTTCAACATATCTGACTTCTCTTTACTGGTTTTGTCATAATGAAACCGGTTTTGTCATATTTTTACATGTTATATTATTATGTATCGATACATGTTTATAAAGTATTGATACTTTATAGGCGCTAGTATTGCTTTTCTTTTTAATTCCAAAAGCATCGACACTTATTTTAATGGTATCGATACCTTCAACATATCCGGTAGCTCTTTATTGGTTTTTTCATATTTTTACTTGTTATATTGTTATGTATCGATACGTGTTTATAAAGTATCGATACTGTATAGGCGCTATTATTGTTTTTCTTTTAAATTCCAAAAGTACCGATACTTATTTTAATGGTATCGATACCTTCAACATATCCGGTAGATCTTTATCGATTTTGTCATATTGAATCCGGTTTTGTCATATTTTTACATGATATATTGTTATGTATCGATATATATTTGAATGATATCGATACCTACCGACAAGTTAAGTTTACTGGTTGCCAAATGTTTTAATATTTCTTCATGATTTCCACCTACAACATTATTATTACTCAACATTTCCGGTAGCACTAAACAAACTTTGTTAAGTATCTTATTATGTTTCCGGTAACGCCATATATTAGCCGTATATTAGTCTGCCCTTCCTGAGACAACTCCTATAATATCATATTCCTCAATAGACATGATTTTCTTTATTTTTTGGGAATCGAGGTAATCATTATGATGCTTTCTCATGCTAATTACATTTATTGCTTCCCCCAAACTCTTCAATTTTCCAACTGGTATGAGATCAGAGAAGTCTCCGATAAACTTTCCTCCATCAATGATCCATGATCCCTGTTTTTCTTATTGATAGTTTCTAGTTCCCGATCATTGTTTTTTTTAGTTCGGCCGGGCTAGTTCCCTTGTTTCTTCCGATTAGGATGATGTGCCTTCCACCAAGTTCACTGTATTTTTATATTAATTTCCTCTCTCGGTAAAGTTATCCGAAAAGCCTTTTTCGTTACTAATACTATAAAAATTACATTATCGATCTCGATTTCCACCGTTTCCTCTATCTTCTTTGGGAAGTTTGTGTTGATTAACATGGAGACCTTCTCGCCATTTAATGTTTGGTTTGCATTTTCACCGAGAAATTCCAGTGATGTAATACTCTAAACTCGAATGGGTCTAAAGTGTTATATTGAGCCACCGAGGCAACCCTTGAATTTAAAAATTTATTCATTTTATGTTTGAAACATACAACATAGTATCAAGCAGACAAACATTATAGTTATAAAAACATTTTATAAATCGGTGTTCCGTGACACATAGTTTAAAACTAAAAATTAATAAAACTATGAGTTATAAATCTAAATACAATAACAAGGGTCCTATGAATACATGTGGCCACTAAAGCTACATTGTAATACTATGGAAGGAATGTTGGAAGTCTTGTTGTGATGGTGCTCCTCGATTTACTCAAGCTACTAACCTACGAATGGAAAACATTCGAACGATGAGCTTGCAAAGTCCCACATTATAATCACTAATCTAGAGTAGTATTATGAGTCTCATAAACATAAACATTCTAAAGATATGGTACTAAACAGTAGGTATATGCATGAACTTAATCAAGTGCTACCTACTTAAGGTTTAAATGCTTTATCGCTGGAGTAAGAGTCTCATCCTCCCCTTAATCCTCTACTAAGGGTATAGCCATGACTACACCTCTATTGGGTCTCTACCCACACTGACTATAATTGCTTTGCATTATCTAAGTGCAACACTGACACTTATATGCATTATTTGAATACAACACTACTAGTATCTGATCTCACATAGCCATCAGTCACTAGTTAACTCAGGGAACACGATGTCATATAGCATTGATGAAATTCCCACTAAGCCATTGAATGATCTCTTGGTCTCATATAGTCATCAGTTAGATCATAGAGGGGGAACCCGGTCATTACATAGAAATTGATACATTTCTCGTTCAACTGAAGCATTGGCTTGGTCTCACATAGCCATCAAGCCAAACTTTAAGGATATTTGTTGTACTGGACTAATGCAACTACGCATGCATATCTAAGGGCCCTAAGTTCACACAACATTAACAACGCCGTACTAGGGCACCTAAGATAGCTCAACAACTAAAGTAAGGCCAACCCTTCACTAGCTACTATCTTTCTTGTTTTCTCATCTAG